GTGTCAGAGAATGTCAGTCTCAATCCATCTATTGTTGGTCAAGTTTGCACTGGTCCTATTTTAAGTTCATGTTTGTTGGTTGGTTTGTTAAGGTCACAAATAAGTCATTTGTAAGGTGTCAGTAGTTGTTGGTGTCAGTTTCAGTCCATCTATTGTAAGTCAAGTTTGTGTTGGGTCTGTTATTTGAAGTAAATGTTTGTTGGTTGGTTTGTTGAGATCATGAATAAGTCATCTGTATGTAGTACATGTAAGTAGTTGTTGTTGTCAGATTCAATCCATCTATTGTTAGTAAAGTGTGAGTACAATAGGTCCTGTTTGAAGTCACAGTTAATTGTCTATTGCTTCGTTGAGGTATTGAAAAGTCACCTGCTTGGTGAAAGACATTAGTACAAGCCATGTAGTTGTTAGCATCAGTTGAGAGTTGTTTGTTCTAATAAGTTAGTGACTGTACATGTTTTAGAAATCATTGCGTTGACTTGCTCAAAACCAATGCAAGCAGTTAGCCAAGAGTCTATCAAGCTAAAGAAATAACCAACTATCTGTAACCTGAACAGGGGTTGTGGAACAACAGCTGGGTGAAAAACCTCCCCGTACGTCCACTTGCTCCTAGGAGGAAAACCCCGGGCCAGCTGTACCCCACGTTCAAAGGCCTCCCGGGCTGGGCCAAAAAAAAAAAATATAATTAAACAGACAATCTACTTAAACCATCTTGTTGTCTTGCCTTGGTTTTTTCTAGCCTCTCCAAGTCCATGCTGTCTTGTGAGGACCTCAGCTGTCTAGCATCCTGAGATGAAACAACCAAAATGATAAATCATTGTGGAATTCAATCTTAAGCTCTAGACACCAAGAAAGATAGACCTTTTATTTACAACTTGTTTTGGTTTCGCAGACCAAAAAACAGCACTCACATGCATCAAAAGTGACAAAGTGAATTTAACACTATGGGATTATAATCCAGTTAGCTCAAAGTTGTTTTGGTGCTATTAACACATGTGTGGCTTTTAAAATTAATTTGGTTTTACTGTTATCTCATTAATATTCATATAATAATATTTGATTGTTCAGACTCTTGAATACAATATCATTAGGCTATTTACCATGGTCCCCATGAGTTGGATAATCGAAGTTTGACTGTACCCACCAAATTAGATTAGCCCTTAGTGGGGTTGCTACGCTATTAATAACTAAGGATCACAAATTATTTAAAGGGACTTTTAAGTGCTTTATAAAATTTAAAATTGGTGTCACAAGGAGTAACAACGAGGATTGAACGGAGCTTAATAAACATGCAAAATTAAATTTGCAGTTATTGCACTCAACGAAAAGGAGAAAATTGAGATTTTATGAGACAGCCGGTCTTGAAGGCAAACTTGGCCTCCCATGGCCAAAACCATTGTATACGAGTACAGATGAGTCTGTTTTGGTTTCTCAATTGATTCGCTTGTTTGTAGCAAAACTTGCAAAATTTTTCAGGTGCAAGAGAATTCAGGACAGGTGCAGTGAAAGT